ACTCACCAAGCCTGGGCTGCCTGCCTGGGAAGCACCTGGGATCTACCTGTCTCTGCCTCGCCAGCTTGGGGAGTACAGGTGCATGTCATGACACTCAGCTTTGTTTACATGGGTCTGGGAATTAAAATCAGGTTCCCATACTTGTAAGGCAGGCACTTTGCCCACTGAGCCATCTCCCTAGTTCCTTTGATGACTGTTTTGTGCAGATCACCAAAAATGTCCAGGTGACTAAAGCCTCAGTACATGTCACCTGACCTTTAACGTTTCCTCTGTGGACCTTTCTATTCTCCCAGAAGGAATCTGGACCCTTGGCCCTTCTTGTCTACTTCTGCATCCTCTCCTATTTCTACATCTTCCTTCTGCCTCCTCTGTTGGCTCCATGTGTTCTGTGCAACCATTATACATTGTAGTTTCTTAGAACTCTGTCCCCAGCTGCCTTCTCCTCTAGATCAACTTATCCTCTTGCATCTTGTCAAAACTACTTTCTATGTTCAAACTGCTATCAAATACATATCTCTAGGTCACCTTCATCTAAGTTCTAGGACATTGTTAAGCCAACTTCCTACCTACTGCACACTCCCACCTGTATGGTCTCAGGGTACTTGACACACAACACATCCTAGACTCAACTCCTGTGTGTCCTCTGCCCTTCCTCTGTGAGCCTCTTGCTCCTCTCTACAGTGTTTGTGTTGAGTTGTTGCACCAGCGTCCATTCAGCTGCTTGTCTTAGAAGGATGTGTGTCATAAACTCATGACTCTCGAGGCTGGAGAGACAGCTCAGTGATTAAGAACACTGCTCTTGCAGAAGACCTAGGTTTGATTTCCAGCACCCACATGGCTGCTAACAACCATCTGTAACTCCGGTTCCAGGGGATCCAACATCTTCTTCTGACCCCTGTGGGCACTGCATGACATGGGTGCACTTACATACATGTAGGCAATATATGCATACACATAAAAATATTAATAAAAAATAAATATTAATAAAAAAATAAACTCATGAATCTTGTGCCCTCAGAGAGCTCTGGAATCCTCCCATTTCCACCAAACCTGCTGCCATTCCCCCAGAGTCTAAGCACTTATAACTCTCACCTGATTTCCTCCTGTTTTCCATGCCAACATGTTTTACTGCTTAATTCCATTCTCTACAAGTATTTGGAGCAACCTTTATGAAATCTGAATGTTGCTGTCCTATCTCTAGCCCTTTAATGGCATCCCACTGCTCTCAAGATGAAGTCCAATGTCTTCAGAGTCTAGGAGACTTGGTGAATCTGGCCTCAGCCTGTCTCTCTAGACTTATTTTGAATCCTCTTTCTCCTTGCTATTTATGCTCCAGATAGCTCAGGCTTTCTAACATCTGCTTCAAGGTCTTTCTGCTGAGAATACTTCCCTGGCCCCCATTTGAAATCTCCCCTATTTCTTTTAGCATCCTGCACTTCTCCATCAAGACACTCACCAACAATAACTTGTCTCATATTGTTCTCTCCTGCTAAGTACTCACTCATGGGATCCTGCGTCTGGTCTGGCTTGGACAACTGTCCAATCTCAGCTTGCATGTCAGTCATGGATGGTTCACAGGCCTTGAGTCAAGCAAACTGCCAAGCTCTTATTGGCTTGGGCCAATCCCTCTGAAGGAGGTGGTCCTGTAGAGCCTCTCATGACTCTGACAGCACGAAGCACTCTTCCTGTGCCCCACAATGGATATAGCATCCAGCTAGAGAAGATGATATAGTCTATGCTCAGAAAACTCCAACCTAATCGAAACTCATCTTTACTCAGGTTTTCTTTTTTAAAGGTTTATTTACTTTTATGTTTGTGTGTGCATGCCTGAGTGTATGTATGTGTACCACATATGTGGAGATGCCCACAGAGGTCAGAAGAAGGCATCAGATCCCCGGGAACTAAAGTTATAGATAGTTGTCAGCTGCCATGTGGTGTTGGGAAGTGAACCTGGGTCTTCTGCAAGGGCATCCAGTGCTTTTAACCGCTGAGACAGCTCTTGAGCCCCAGGCTTTACTTAGGCTTTAAGCTGACATGGTGTCTCCTGGTTTTCCTACTTTGCTCTGGTAGTCTACACTTCTTCTTTGAGGGGAAATCTGTCTTACCCCAAGGTGTCTGCTTAGTCCTTATTGTATTTTTTTCATCAATTCAGGCTATTGTAAATTAGCATCACCCTTCAAATGTCTCGTTTGTGTCACATACACATTCACCATTAAATCAACAATTGTTTGTTGAGTGTCTACTAGGTACCACGCTGCTCGTCTAGGCACTAGAGATCAGTTGTGAGGAGAGCAGACACATATTTTGTCCTTGTGGAGTTTATAACCTGGTGAGTAACAGCAGACAACTCTGATGAGTGTTGACTATGTGCTTGACCTAACTCATTGAATCCTCTCAAAACACTGCAAGATAAGTAGGCTCTCACTATTTTGCTAGTGAGAAAACTGAGGCACAGAGAAGTCAAGGGCCCTCCAAGCTCACACAACTTACCATAAAACAGCAGAACTCAGATGTAGGCCCATACACCTGGGCTCCAGATCTGTGTTCTTAACCCCTGCCTTCTCCCTTCCACTCCAAGACCTTCTCTGGTATTACTTAAACTGGGTTGTGTTTGGGGTTCACATGCTGCTCACTTGTATCTTCCTTTTTGAGACAGGGTCCTGTGGGGTAACCCTGGCTGGCCTGGAACTCACTCATGCCCCTGTCTTCTGGGTCCTCTGCAAGTACAGCTAGTGCTCTTAATCACTGAGCCATCTTTCCAGCCCCTCTCCCCAGGTTCATGAATTCTGATCCGTTGACTCCATTCAGACTTCTGGTCTTCTTAGAAAGGACAGCTTCTCACCATCAGGACTAAAATTGTTCTTTGTGAAAGTCTCTCTCCCCCTCCCCCTCCCCTTCTTTTTTCTCCCATCCTGTGTCACTGCTTGCATATTTGTTTTGATGGTCTGTGCCTCCTTTCCTCCAGGGTACAGAGTCCATGAGAGAAGGCACATATCTTGCTCACCAGTAAATTTCAAGCATCTGAAACAGTGCCAGATACCTTCCAGATGCTTAACCTACGCTTGTATAAATAAATCTTTTTAAAAACTTCTAAGGAAGAAGTGGAAAAGCAAGTTATTTGTATTTTACTTTTGGTGTTTGAGGACAAATAACAAAAATAAAATAAAAATCTAGGTACCCACTTGGACCACAAAAATTGCAGGAAAGCATCATGATGAAATTCTATATAGTCATGAAAAATGTTAGGAGTGTAGACACTCTTCCAATGAAAAGCGATGACTAAATAATTAATCAATGCAGAAAAAATAATTTGAGTATCTGTATGCATTTCATAAGATGCAAATTCAGATATACAAGAAATATAGCTTATTATTCAAGTCCCCATGATCCAATCTGGTTCATACTTCAAGTTCCTAACCTGGGGACTTTCTTGGGCAAATTCAATGTCTAATCTATTTAATTATCTTAGGTTATGTTTGAGTTTTGGGAGTCCAAGTTTGGCAGAATATTGATTTGATTCCTAGTCATGGCTAATGTACTTTTTTATTGCAGTTCTCTTAAGACCTCTGGAGGGGGAATCCGAGGAGACAGGTCTTTCTTATTTCCTCTTCAGTGTCCTTCTTTGGAGTCAGCTATACAACTGTAATCTCAGCACTCAGGAGGCAGAGGCAGAAGAGTCAGGAGTTCACCATCCTGGGCTACATAGCAAATTCTCCTTCAAGTTCTTCACTAGGGTAGAGGTACCATCCAGCCACTCCCCTGTTGGAGGGTAATGGGATGACCTGGGTTCTGGGGAGGCACAGCATTCTGTGAGGCTGACTGGGCCTTCTCTACTGGGTACATATTGTAACTGGATATGACAAAGGGAAGATTCTTCCTGCCCCAAATGAAATAAAGGCTATGGTAAGACAACCTCTGTACTCAGAGAGGAGACCACAACCATATTCCTATACGGGTGGCTGGACCCAATACCACCCCCTTTATTCTTCCAGTCCTTGCTTGGATCATAGACCCATCCCTCATGAGACTGAGTAGGCTCCCATTTGATTGGAGGATCCCAGAATTGACAAGGATTTAGTGAAATGAACTGGTTAATTTACTTAAATTGTCTTTTATGGTAAGTACAATGAGGGCTTGAGACAGAAATGAAGTCACAATGGTGAAAGTTATAGCCGTGAAGAACATGGGAATAATTTTGCCATACTAGAAAATTAAAGACTTAAACTCCTTGCACATCTGAGAGGTGACAAGTGGCATCATCTGGTGCCTGTCAGATCACTTTTAAAATTCCATTTGTGGATACACAGGAAGCAGATGCTAATTTGAATAAGATATGAACTAGGAAACTTCATTTATTGGATTCTCTTTTTGAAAACTAACTGTGCACATAAAAACCATTGGCAAAGGATGCCAGGGCCTAGGGCATAAGAATAGAATCTACGATCTCAGGTCACAGAGATAAGCGTTAGGGTCTGGACCCACAGAAGCTCCCTCCACAGTGCAACAGGACAAGCCTTCTGTCCCAAATACAGGAACAAAGTTACTGAGCACCATGACCATCTGTAGACAGTATAGACTCCCTGCACCCGTGACCTAAGACCTGATCACAGCAAGAGCTGTTTCAGCACTACCTGCTCCCCCTTTGATAATTTTAGAAGAAAAGCAGACCCCTTATCCCCTGACCCAGACCCTGGTCTATGTAAGGGGCAGTTTCAACAGAATTTGCCTCCCCCTGTTAAGCCCCTAGCCCTTTCATCTGTTTAAACTGTTTTCCCACCTTCTACATATCCAATGTTCTATAAAAACCGCCAGCCAGCAGCCTGAAAAGTAGCAGCTTCCTCTCTCAGGTTGAGGGCTGTTCCCGGTGACTTCTGGAAATAAAGTTCTGCCTTGGTTTCTGCCTGGAGTCCTCCTGAGTGGCTTTCATGCCCAAATTTTTACCTATCAATAAGTCCTTTGTCACAGCCCAGAGGATGGATGTCCCAATGAGCAGCGCTTACCCTCAATGACGGAAGTCATGATACTGACAACGCTCATTGCTCTTTGGGCTCGGAAAGGCTCATTCAAGTATTCTGCTGACAGGTAATCCTTCTTCTGTCTTGCATCAAACGCCTGCTGGGACACAAGACATGTCAGGACACTCCCTCTGCAATCTGAAGGTGTCAGCAGCAAAGACAATATCATCTAGCCCCTTGCTGGCCAGTCTCATATGATTGTGAGCTACCATGAGACACTGAAGAAAAATAAGGTTGGTGCTTGAATTTGCGGTAAGAGCTCAGGTGTGAGGACCAGCACACGGAGGTGGAATGGAACCAGAGCCCATGTTGGAGGGTAACAGGTTGATTTGGGCTCACCTGAGGCTCAGCAAGTTCCTTCCCTAGGGCAGGACCTGGGCACCAGGAGTGGTAATGGGATTGCTTCAGGGTTTCTCAGAGTTCTAGCAAAGGGAGAGTGTATGGGTAATCTTGATCATCAACTTGACTGGATTTAGAATCACCTAGGAGAGACACCTCTGGGTATGTCTGTGAACTTGTTTCCAGAGAGGTTTAACTGAAGAGAGAACACCAGCATTCACCTCTCTCAGCTTCCTGGCTGTGGATGCAATGTGACCAACTGCCTCATGCTCCTGCCACCATGCCTTGACTGCTGTGATGAACTATATCCCGCAACCATGAGCCAGAATAAACCTTTCCTTCTTTAAGTTTCTTTTGCCAAGTACTTTGTTACAGCAATGAAAAAAGTAACTAATATAGAGAGGAAAGCTTCAGGAGCACTGGGCTAGGCAGTCCTCAGGAGACTTGCTCTGAGCAGTTCGTGTGACCTTCACGCAAAGCTCTTTCACCACACTGTGCTTCCCAGGATCCCTTCTAACAGGCCCATTTTCCTCCCCAGCATACAACCCAGTTCCAATCCTACACAGTCTCTTTGTTTCTGTAGGGAATATCTGTATGTCTTGACTGTTCAGCTGTTAGTTGTCTGTAATAGACTGAAGGTTTTATTTTTTTCCCTCATTCATATGTTGAAATCCTAATTTTGGTGCAATGGCATTAGGAAGTGGGGCCTTCGGGAGATGATTAACCATGACTGAATTAATGATGTTACAAAACAGACTCCAGAGAGCTCCATTCCTTCTTCCACCGTGTGAAGATCCAGCAAGAAAGGGCCAGAGGGAGGGTTCCCACTAGACCATGAAGTACAAGTACCTCGATCTTAGACTTTACAGCCTTCAGAAGTACGAGGAATAAAATTCTCTTGCTTATTAGCTATCTACTCTATGGTATTCTGTTATAGGAGCAGGAACAAACCATCACACTGTCTAACACATTCTTTATGATTCTTCCCTGTCTGGATCTTCGCTAGAAGTTCTGTCTGGGTTCTATGCAAAGCCCATGACTATAGTCACACCCATATTCTGACATTGGGCTGTCCAAGGCCATAGCAGCTGATTCAGCCCTACAAAGCCATGTAGAATCCAAATTCAATGGGCATTGAATCACTTTCCACAGATGAAGCTGGTAGATATACAATAAACAATAAATACGAAGCTTAGAAAGTTCTCGACCGTGGGGACTCAGCAAACAATATCAGCAGTTAGTGTTTATTGTTCCTCTCAGACGTGTCTAAATTTAAGTACTTTATCATTTTATTCAACCCTCTCATTAATTAGAAACCTTTTTACAAAGGGATGCAGGGAGGCTTGGAGAATTGCCGCAAGGGGACTTGCCGAAGGTGACTGTGTTGGTAAATGGCACAGCTGGGACTGAAGCCCAGGTCCTTGTGACGTGGAAGGGTTTAAAGAACAATCTTACACTAGCTTGTTTGACCAGAGTGAATCAAGGTTAAACAATGAAGAATGTGACTGTCATAAGAACAGATAAAGGACGGTGAGGGGCCTGTCCCAAGAGAGGCACAAAATGCTATGTGAGGCATTTTCAGGAGTTCTAATCTTAGGATTCAAACAAATGTTAGGGTTAAAATGGTGAGGTCAGGACACTGGGGAAGAAAAACAGGGGAGCTTGCAGCTAGGGTACGAGGCAGTCAAACTAACTAGACACAAGGAAGGACAGAGCTCTGGGAAAAACAAAGCAGTCTCAGCATGCTCTATGAAGCTCCTCCCTGATAGCATGCATGAGGCACTGATGCCCCTTTCCCCTAGTAAACTTCTCAACTCTTTTGGTAGTCATACCTTTATACACAGTGTTGCATCTAATTGTAACAGACTGAATTGTGGGTAAGAACAGCTTCTAAGAAAGACTGCCTATTCCAGGTTGGTGAGCACCCCAGACTGCCCCAAGAGTGGATAATGGAAAGGGAAATGGTGGACCATCACTTCATAAGTCGAGATGCTAGAGGCGGGCTGTGGCTATAGCCACGTGACTCAGTCTGCCCTCCCTCTGGAGAGTGTACTTTCTGGGCTTGCTTTCTCACCTGCTAAAAATAAACTCCGCTTGCTCTACCTGGACTTCGTGTGAACTCTTCTTCCTCAAGAACACAAGAACTGATTCTGCTGCTGTGATTGAGATTAGAGAGAATTGGGGAGGTGGGATCATCTCACGCACAACACTAAGACGTCTCCCAGAGAGCCCTGCAGGCTGGCTTTGACTTTAGGACTCTGTTGGTAATTCTGTTTGCCCCAGAGTCACACTCTTTGTCTCTCTACCCTGTTCTGTGTCCAGGGAGAGCAACCTGAACAAATACCCTATGGGTCTGGTCAGGTCTGACCAACAAGAGATACAAGCAGGACAGTAGAGAAAGGGGAGACATATTGGCTGTTTGTTCCCTGTTTTCCTCTCTTGTGGCCGTGGCTGGCAACAGCTTCCACTACCCAAGGTCATGGGTCCCAGAGCCTCAGCTCTTGACAGGCTCTGATTCTGGACTTTTCCCTCACTGTCTCAGTGTAGGCATGTAATAGTCCCCACTGTTGCTGGTCTCCAGGTCCTTCACTGTCCCTTTATTCCCTCTGCAAATACTTTATTAAACTCCTTCCACTTGCCCATTTGAGTGTGGATCATCTGCTTTTTCCTGTGATTCTGAATCACTTGGGATCCAATCGAAGTGAACTAACACAAAGTTATCAGACTTACCAGAGTTGGTGGGACCATACAATTGGCTCTTTGCAAGCCTGTTTGCAGGTCTCCTGCTATCCCTGACTAGCTAGGGAGGACTAATTAAAAACACAAGAAACATCCTTGCTGACACTGGAGGGAAAGCTCAAATTAAATCGCATCTCCCAACCCAAGGAATCCCTGGTTTGCTGTTACTCTCTCTGTAAGCATTCTCTTAAAGAGCAAGGACCAGTTAGTACCTGCTCCCCAATTTGTGCAGTTTAACAAGTTGTTTGTCCTGTGAGTCAAGCCAAGGTTATTGTACTTCTATCAAGATCTGTCCTGCGCATGTCTCAGAATTTCTCTGGGTCCCACTTGTCAGGCCTCAGGCCAGTTTGTGTAGGGTCATAGGTTTATTGAAAAGGGCCATTTGTTTTCCTTGGTCTCATCAAGAGAACAAGTGGGGCCATTGCCAAAGTGGTAATGGCAAGCAGGTATAGAAAAATACTGAGAGGAAATAATATGAGGTCAAATGGAAAATGGTTTGCACCTTTGCCTGCAGAGAAGTCAGCAAACAGGTTTTACCTCAGGCAACTCCAGTGACTTTTCTGGGTCTTGCCTGCCCTGTCTGTAAAATGGGAGTTGGATGGGAGGTATTGGACAGACGGCAGCTAAAAGACCCATCCATTGGTGTCACTCAGAGCTTATTGGTGAAAGGCTCCTGGTTGGAAGACAAAGAGTCTAGCGTGTGCATGGACTCACCGAGACTTCAGTAGCTCCAGGCACAAGTTCACCAGTGGGCACTGTGAGCTGCCTCTCTTCTCCATGTCTGGGACCAGGGTTGGGGGACTGAGGCAGTGGGCTCCTGGAGAGAAGGCCTGGCTGTCCAGCACCCCTGCCCAGCAGTAGGGAGCCTCGGTGGTTTTCATGGTCTCCATGAAAGACTCCATCATCTGTGATTCCATCAGGGAATGAGGCATCTTGTGTGGGAGCTCGGAAATGGAACACACTGCCATGGCTAGACCGGCGTTTTCCAGAAGAAAGGCCTAGGAAAGACTGGGCATTGCCCCGAGATAAGCAGGAAAAAAAATGGGCCCAGAGCTGGTCCTCTGTAAATCCAGCACATACTTCCCTTCACCCACTTCCCCCTTTGGCCCTTCTCATAGCTATGTAAAGACCTAAAGGATATTCTGGGTAGACATGAGAAGGCAACTAGAGAAAAGGATATCTTAGACAGCTTTGAGGAAAGAGCAGGGGAGATGGGAAATAACAGCAAATAGATCATTGTGACCAGTAACAGGTAGAGGACCTATCACTGGCTGGGTCAGATATTTGCCAGCCTTTGGCCACAGGCCTAGACACAGCTGTCTTAAGTTCCTATCTATAAACACAAAGTTTTGACCAGAGGAGGCGCTAGGACTGGAGCCTGCTTGGAGCGTGGTTGTTGAATGAACAAGAGCACTTTGCTATTTGAAAATTAGGTTGCACAATTCATTAGATTCTGTCTGTATGAGTTTGTGTTGTAAAGCAGGAGACAAGGGCTTTAGAGTGTAATGAGTATGCAGGATCCCCTGAGGAAGGCTTTGAACAGTCAACAATGGGGAGATTGAAGGAAGAGCTGCAGCCTAATTTCTTGGAAGATAATGCCATTCTTCCAAATCAATAAGCATTTCCCATCAAAATCTTCCACTGAGAGAACTGTGAGGCTTAGAGATTCCAGAGGAAAAGCACTAATTCATGAGCCCAGCATACCCAGAGAGATCCTAGATTGGGTTAGCCTGTTCTCATGACCAACCATGGAACCTGACCACAACAAATCATCAATCCTACACTCAGATCATATGTAGTGTTTCTAAAATCTGAACAAAGCTCCCTACCAAACTTTGGTCATGCTGCTCTGTTTCTCTTCTTCCTAATTCCATTTATTTACCAAACTACTAAGGTGGGGCATGTTGCCAGTTAGACATCTCCTCATCTATCCCAAGGAACCAAAGTTTCTTATCTATCTATTTATCTATCTATCTATCTATCTATCTATCTATCTATCTATCTATCTATCTATCTGTCTGTCTGTCTGTCTGTCTATCATCTATCATCTATCATCAAATCATATATATGCATACATATATACATACATATCTATATCTACATATCTATATATGTATGGATGCACATTTGTGTTCAGGTCAGAGGACAACCTAAGGTGTCATTCCTCAGGTACCATGTATCTTTTTTTTTTTTTTTGAGACAAGGTCTCTCACTGGCCTGGAATATCCCAAGTAAGCTAGACTGACTGGACAGGGAGTCCCAGGCATGCATCTGTCTCCACCTCCCCAGTGCTGGGATTACATAACCACCATGCCTGGCTTTTTTAAAATGTGGGTTCCAGGGGTTGAACTCATGTCCTCATGTTTGCAAGGAAAACACTTTGCCAACTGCACCATCTTTCCAGCCCCTTGAGGTTTCTCTTCTTGATAATTTGGAGCTCAATTCTGGTTAGCCACCACCATTGCCAGCCAAGTGTTATATACAGAGCACCCTGCCTAAAATACATGCCCCAGGACCATAGAGCTCACAAAAACCCATGCATCCTTTCTACTTTGGAGACAAAGGAGAAGGACTAGGATGGCTATTGGAAGACTGAGTTGTTTGTACTTGGGCACCAAGCAAATCAAGGAAGAAGCATTTAGGTCCATGTTTGACACTCAGTACCTCGTTGACACCATTTATTTTAGAATCAATCTATTTGTCAAACGATGGACAATGATCTCTAAGCCCATGCATTAGAATTGCTTTGAAATGTATCATCCCAGCATCCCATCGCCTGTGGGTTCCTGGAAACTCCTACCATATCTTTTGTATGTATTAGCCCCAATCACTACATCATTGCTGTTGGTCAGAAAATGGCTTTATCTGAAAACTGCCCTAAGTCTATTTATCAGATTAATGTGGAAAAAGAGGAAGGAGAGAGGTGGCTTCTTGAATGGACTCCAATCAAGCAGTTAGTATAAAGAAGTACTCTTGGGGCGAGGGACATGGCTCAGTGAGTAAAAACACAGCTGTGCATGGCTGTGCATACCTGTAACCCCAGCATGGAAGGGGGAGATAAGTGGATCTCAAGAGCTTACTGGCCATCCAGCATAGCTTAAATGGTGAGATTCCCGTTCAGTGTGAGTTGCTGTCTCAAGGCAATAAGGTAAAGAGCTACAGAGGAAGACACCTGGCATCCTGCTCTGACCTCCACATGCATGTTCATGGGTGTGCACACCTGCAACTTCCATACACGTAACACATACATACACACAGAAAATGAAGCATCCCACCGGGCGTGGTGGCACACACCTTTAATCCCAGAATTAGTAGGCAGAGATAGGAGACCAGCTTGGCTTACATAGTGAGTTCTAGGTCAGCCAGGATTATATAGTGAGACCCTGTCTCAAAAACAGGTACTCTAATGTTATGTCCCTGTCCCTGTCTTTGTTCATATACGTTCTTCTTTCTATCTAGAAACCTCTCCTCCCCAGACCCTCCTAGTCTTCAGTGGCTAGAGGAACCTCTGTATGCTCTCCTTATTCATCTTAATTTTCTCTCTTCCAGGAAACTTTTCCTGATTACATCTGCACCCATAAGAGTGGATGTTTCCAACACAACAAGCACATGTCTCTGATAGAGTATTTAACACCAAACTCTTTTTGTATCTGCCTCCTCCACTTTTCCTTGGGAAAGAGGCAGGTGTTAGTCTTCCCTACATCAAACACCGAGTATTTCTGAACAAACGAAACCCCTTACTTTCTTTCCTACTCTTCAGGTGAGATGAACTGGAGAGACAAGCACACACCCCGACGCAGTTCTTGGGCAGCCAGCTGTTAATCTGTGCGGGGCTGACTGAATGGAGGAAATTAAAACCCAACCCAATTCAGTGTCTTTGGTATTTCCGTGGAAGCTGTGATTCAACCTCTTCTGTGATTGTCAGACTTCTAGTCAAATTCCCTTTGAAGCATTGAGCTGTGCCTTGTGAACGTCAGGTGCTGCTCCAAAGAGGCACAGGACGAGGAGGCCACAGATTCAGAGAAGTGCTCCAGTGTAGGCGTGTCACTGAGGCCAGAGTGCGTGTGAGTGTGGTTGTGCGTGTAGATGCATATATAAATCCAGGTTTTGTAAGTGAAGTAGAACATCCTTCAAGTGAGCACAGGAGAGAGGATTGAGATGTAGGGGCAGGAAGCACCTCCCGAATAAGTGCCTTGATCCCTCTCCATATGATTAGTGTGTGAACTGCCCTCCCACATGAGGGGTTGTGATGGCTAATTATGGTTGTCAACTTGACAAACCTGGGAAGAGAGCACCGTAGTTGAAGAAGTGTCTCCATCAGATTGGCCTGTGGGCATGTCTGTGGGGCCTTTTCTTGATTGATAATTGATGTATGAGGGCCCATCCCACTGTGGACAGGTGAATCTGGGCTGTATAAGAAAATCCTGGGAACAAGTCAGTAAGCAGTTCCTCTATGAGCTCACTTCAGTTCCTGCCTCTAAGTTCCTGTCCGACTTCCCTCAAGGATAGACTGTGCCCTGGGAGTTATTTCATCCCCAAACTTGTCTTTGGTCAGAATGTTTTATCACAGAAACAGAAAAGCAAACTAGGTCACAGGCCTATAGAAAGGAGATATTTGGGTTCACAAGATTTTTTAGAAGGCAGGGAGATGGTGGGAAGAAATTTAATGAGGGAAGTTGGAGAGGGAATCTTGGAGTGGGAGGTAGAATGTTAATCATGATGGGGGCAGAACTGCTGCTGGGTTAAAGGTGAGGTAGAGAATCTACTCCCAGGCTGGACTGTCATAGAGATAGGTACTGGGGTCTTCTGTGTCACCATCAGGTGACAGCCTGAGCTGTGGGGCCAGAGGCAGGAGGTCCTGAAGATAACGGAGATGATTTTAGCAGGAACAGAGGATCCTGCCTCTCAGTGGCAGAGCTGCAGACTCCAGTGTGGAAGGAAGCTGACCTTTGTTAACTATAGATACTCCAAGGTTGGCATGTCCTCATGCCAAGGGTGGGCTTCCCCTCCCTTTCCGACACATTTAGTGTCCTAATCTTAGAATCACAATTTACATGGTGCCTAGGCCTGAAGCTCAGCAGTCACCAGGTCTTCTTTTCCTTATTCTACACTCCTAATCTTGTTGATCCTTCCCACCCAGAAAGGTCCTTATTATTTACCCCACCACCATCAATAGCGCCCCTGTCCTAGCTTAGGCCACCAATGGGGAGACGTGTCTGAGTTACTAAAACAGCCTGCTAATCTCTGAGCCTTCAGCTCTCTCCCAGCCCCAAACCTCCTCCCACTTCACTCATGGCTAACGTAGCTGCACAGGGGAGTGAATCTTCAGAGCCAGATTGGAACTCCTTACCATCCTGCGTTGATTGTAGGGCTCAGATCGGGGTGACCTGTTGTCATCTGCGGAGCCTTCTGACACTCTCGATTTCATTTTGGGCTTTCTCTCATGGGTGTTTTTGGAGGCTAAAGGTGCTCCACTGTGGGAGTGGAGAGAGGCTGTGTCGATCCCCAGGGCTACCAGCACCTGAGGGAGAGAGTAACAGCTGTGGCCCACAGAATCTAACTGGGCTTGACTTATTAATGTGCGCCCCAGACATAAGGAGGTATGGGGGGTAAGGGGATGGGGGACCTGGGACCGAGGAGGTTGAGAATTAGGATGTCAGTAGTGGTGGGATTGGGACATGGCAGAAACAGCCACCTTTAGGTCACCTCCCTCCTTTAGACCCTGTTGTAGAAGCTGGTGCCTGACCTAAGTCTTTTTGCCAGGTCAGGACATTCCCCTCCACCCGGACCCCAGGCACTTGTGCAAGCCGCTAATACTCACAGGCAGTACCTTGGAGAACATTCCTTTGGCTACCTGCTTTTGAGACAGATATGAGAGTACAAAAGGCCTGCCCTCTTGCTTCAACATAGAGCTAACTCTGATATATCACCTCCAGAGCTCTCTAGGGGGCTTGGGCAGCAGCTAGCATCTAGTTGAGACCACTTTAATTCCACCTACTGCTCTATCTGATCTCAATTTATTTATTTTTCTTGTGCCCAGGAGACTCCTGAATAAATCACTTGGAAAATGTCTCTCACTCAGAGACTTTTGTATGTGGAGATGGGTGTGTGTGTGTGTGTGTGTGTGTGTGTGTGTGTATGCACATGGAGGCCAGAGGCCAACCTCAGGTGTCATTCCTCAGGAGCTGCCCACTTTATTTTTCAAAACAGGGTCTCTCATTGGCCTGAAGCTTGCCAATTAGACTGGGCTGGCTGACCAGAGAGCCCTAGGGATCCACCTGTCTCTGCCTCCTCAGTTCTGGGATTACAAGCATGCACTACCATGTCCAGCTTTAAAAAAAAAAAAAAAAAAACCTGGGTTCTGGGAATTGAACTCAGGTCCTCATGCTGAATAAACCATTTCCTTAGTCCAACTCCTTTTTATTTCTTGAGAGGAAGGTAACCTAAGACAGTCCCTGAAGTAAGTTGCATGGTCCTGCAGTGCCCTAGAATGGGGGATAGAGTCCAAATGAAACCTGGTGGCTTCTCAGTGATGCTGTTTAGACTCTTGACCCAGGTCCACTCGGCCACTGATTGCACAGTGTTGCTGTCCACCAACCTCCTGCTCCTTCTGGAGCACCTCAAGGGCCTCTTGGAACTTCTTCTCCTTGGCTTCAATTTCTGCAATCGTTGCCTGGTTCTGTTCCTCATATGCCATGGTGACCACCGCCAAGATCAAGTTGACCAGGTAGAAAGACCCCAGGAAGATGACAAGAACGAAAAAGACCATGTACATTTTTCCAGAAGCCCGGAGCGTCTGTAGGTTCAAGGGAAAGAAGAAAGGCCTGTGCACAGAGCACGTGGAGAATCAAAGCTACGTAGCTGACCTGTCAGCCTCCAGCCAAGTCTGATGGGAAGATGAGGGTTGGTCTCAGTTGGTATGGCCAGGTGTGGTGGCATGTGCCTGTGTTCCCAGCACTTGAGACGAAGAGGCAGTAGGATCATTAAAAGTTCCATGTCAGCAAAGGCTACATAGTGAAAGCCTGTCTTGAATAAACAAAACAAATCAAAGATACCTGCTGGTAGAGGCGTTCCCAGGAATCCTGTGTCATGAGGCGGAACAGCGAGAGGAAAGCCCATGCAAAGGAATCAAAGCTGGTGTAGTTGAAATCTGGGTTGTCAGAAGTTTTCAGGCATGTGTATCCCTTAGGGCATTGGCTGCATCAAGAGATAAGAAGGTGGCAGGTAGCAGAGGCTCTGCTGATGGGGTATAGAAAGCCTGGGGCAGGAGGGAAACGATGGGTTTGAAGGCAGAGAGCTGAGTTAAAGACTCAGCCTTCCTCTTACTAGTTGGACAACTTTGGACAACATAAAATAACCTTTTATATTATTTGCATGTGTGAAGGAATAGCCTGCAGGAGGCCAGATGACAGCCCTCATGTGACTCTTTAAGGTGTCAAGCTCTCTGTCGGCTTGCACCAGGGAGAGGAGCATCAACAGCAACAATGAAGACTAAATTGAGAGCCTGCTGGCACCATCTCCAGAGTTATCCATCAAGGAAGACTTACATTAGCCAAGTTCAGTGATGGATTATACACAACAATGAAAATATTGCCATCAACTTGCTGGACACTTACTGAATGCCTCCCTCTCTCCCCTAAATGCTTTACTGACAATATAATGTAATCATCCCAATAGTGCTTCTTTAAAGATGAGGAAGTAGGGTTCAGGTAGAAGTCAGTTGCCTAAAACCATACAGTGTCAGCATATTCATTAAAAATGGAGGCATAGAACCAGCAAAAGACTGAGTCAGCTCCAGCTCCTCCTGGTGGGTGAAGGAAGATCAGGATTAAGATGTCTGCTTGGTGAGTGTGGGGTAGGAGCACCGAGCCCACCTCTCTCATACAAGTGTGTGGAATGGTACTGAACAGTAGCTCTGGCTCTGGGCATGTGAGGAAATCCCACAGTGGGGCTAGCCTGGTCAAGGAACCAGGAATGCCTTTATTGTCCCAGGAGTCATCCTCCAATGTCAGCTTCTGGGGTTCTCCTTATTCCAGACCTCCATGTGAACATACAACCTCAGGACCCATAGAATTGATTTAGAACTCTAAGTAATTCTAAGTCTATCTTTATCTTGACTGCAGTTGTGCAAGTTCCCTGACTCCTACATTTAAAGGAAGTCTATTGGTTTTCCTTTCTAGGAGCTGGTCCATTCATTCCTGTAGGTTTTCTAATTAGGTCTGAGGCATGCTTATTTCTACGCCTTCCATGGAGACCCGTACTAGCTGCTACATGTCAACTGCTAGCTGCTTAGTACATCAGCAGTTGACTGCTCTGAGAGGTCTCTTGCACACTAAATATTTTATATATATATATATATACATATATGTAAATATATATACATACATATAATTAAAATTCCTGCTGTGGAGGCTGGGGAAATGCCCCCGTTGGTCAAGTATTTGCTGTGCAAGCATGAAGACCTGAGTTTAGGTCTTCAGCATCCAATGCAAAAAGCATGGCAGCATATACCTGTAAACTTAGAATTGGGGAAGCCAAGACAGGAGGATTCCTGGAGCTTGCTGGCCAACCAACCTAGTCAAATCAATGAGCTCAGTGAGATACCCTGTCTAAAAAACTAGGTAGAGGGGCTGGAGCAATGGCTCAACAGTTAATAGCACTTGATGTTCTTGCACAGGACCTGAATTCAGTTCCCAGTACCCATATGGCAACTAATAGCTGTTCATTGCTCTAGTTCCAGAGGATCTGATACCCTCTTTTGGCCTCCATGGACACTGAATGCAGGTGGTACACTTGCATACATGCATGAAAAATGCTTATATGCATAAAGTAAAAATATAAATAATAAACTATTTTTAGATAGGTGGAAAGTGATTGCTGAAGTCACCTGATGTGTTGACCCCTGACTTCCACACACACATGTTCATGCATACCTATAGACACATGAACACATATACATAAAACACACACAAAGAATTCCTGCTGCTGTTGACTTTGGGGGCTACCAAAAGGAGGAGCTGGAAGACTCCACATGAAAGAATGTTAAAAAACCAGGTGTTTTCTAGTGCCCAGTCTCCACCTTAAGACCCTAGATTTCTCAGGGCTCCAGATTTTCTGACACTAAACCCTGGCTTCTGTGTTCCTAGAAGACCCTCACTCTGCTGTCGTCCTGAGCTGGTACCTGGCTGCGGGCCTATACTGCAGGACGTCTGACCTCTGTGGGAGTTAAGATAGGGTTCATAGATGAATCCCAGAATTTTAACATGGAGAGTGCTTGTGCTGCTCTGGAGCCACGGACTTGAGAAATACCATCATCCAGATAGGAAGAAGGACAGCAAGGGGCCCTCAGTTTAAATCTAAATGAAAGGAAAGTGAAAATTGATGTCAGAACTTTTTCCTGGAGTCAGAGACCTGAAGTCTAAGTGCTTTGGGAAGGAAAGTAGTTTATTTTATGGCTTGTTTTTGTTTTTGTTTTTTAGTCTTTTTGAGACAGGGTCTCCCTGTAGCCTCAGCTGGCCTGGAACTCATATGTAGACCAGGCTGACCTTGATCTCACAGAGACCCGCCTACCTCTGTCTCCTGAGTGCTGGAATTAAAGGCATGTGACACCAAGCCCAGCACAGGAAGGAAAAAGCTGATGAGGACCAAATTCTCCTGTTAGTCCCTGACCCTCAGCTCCATCTGAGATTGTTGTTGACCCTCAGCTCCATCTGAGATGTTGTTCTAGTGAGCTGATTAAGGTAGAGCCTCACTATGGTGGTTAATATTGTCAACTCAACAGGATCTAGAATTATCTAGAAGACAAACCTCTGCATTTGCCTGAAGGAGTTTCTAGATTAGGTTAATTGAGGTGGGAAGAACAGCTTTAGATGTGGTTCCATGGGCTGGGGTCTGGGCTGAGTAAAAAAGAGAAAGCGAGTTGAGCACTAGCGTTCATCTCTTTCTCTACTTCCTGACTGTGGATGCAGTGTGACCAGCTGACTCACATTCCCACCTCTGTGACTTCCCTGTCACGATGGATTGTGTACCCTAAAACTGTGGGCCCCAAATAAACTCTTCCTTCCTGAAGTTGTTTCTTTTTCAGATATTTGGCTGCAGCAATGAAAACAGTAACTGACATACCCCTTCAGGTCCCACCTATCACCACATGAACAAGAAAGTACTAGCAGCTAATCAGTTACTTTTCTGTTGCAATGATTAAACACCACGATCAAAGCAACTTATAGGAGGAAGATTTTATTTGGCTTAAGGTACCAGAGAGATAAGAGTCCCTCATAGTTTGGCAGGAGACAGGCTGAGAGGAAAGCTGATTACTCACATCTTGAATTACTGACGGAAAGCAGAGAGACAACAGACTGAAAGCGGGGCAAGTCTATCGACACTGGAAGCCCACCCCCAGGGCTGTGCTTTCTCCAACAAGGCCACGCTTCCTAAACCTCCACAAACCGAAGGCAAGTATTCAAATACTTGGAGCTTGGGGGCGGGGCATTTCTCATTTAAACCACCACAGGCCCTATGAGTTCTGATTTTGTAGACCTCCAGCCATGGATGTGAGAGGGATGGACACTTTTGATTTATTTTCTGCTCTCTGTCCATCCCAGTGTCTGGAGGCTGAGTTGAGGGGTCCAGACTCCTTAGTTCAATCTCACTTTCTGCCTACCACGTGGAGTGGTCTCCATCTAAGCATCTCTTCTTTACCCAGCCTTGAAGCTGTCCTTTAACATTAACTTCAACTACTGCCCTTGGGAAGCCTCTCCTGACTCTCTCCCTGGCCTCATACTGTTATCCACTGTTTTCTGTCAGTGAATCCTCTAGCACAGCACTGCTCTCCACAGCACAGAATCTTTACATGCATGCAAAAGAGACAAAAACAAACAAACAAATAAACAAACAAACAAAAACCACCAGGTAGCTTACAGCCTGAATTTAGCATGCAGAAATAGTTTGTCTGGTCAATATGATAGGTAGACATTTTGAGGAATTGGTGGTCAAATTTATACTAGGAGATATCACATAAAAATAGAAATTTCCTGTCTCTGTTAAGTTAGCAGAGGTAGACACAGTAGACACCCAGTTTCACATGGCAACCAAAGCCAGGCTGAGCAGTGTCTGTCCCCTTTCCATGGGGCATGAACTCTCAGTTGCCATGGTTCCCTCCTGGCCCTCTCTACTCATTTGTTGTTATGCTCCTGACCTCTGTAAGAATTTGAAATTGCAAAATGTTATGCATGCATTTCTTCCTCTGTTACATAAAAAGAACGAAACCCTGCGATGGGGGAAGCTGTGAAGCTTAAATGTAGACCATTTAATACAAATATACTTGATAAGTATTGGTCTCTTCCAGGAGTAGATCATTGCTCCTCTCCTTCTGGTACCTACACCTCTTTGCAATATGACCCTGAAGCTCTTTCTAATTGAGAGGAGAGATCTGTTTCAGCACCCGATGGATCTGTACTGACTTGTGACTTGCTTTGGTCAAGAGGATGCAGAAAGAATGTGGGAGTGTAAAAGCCTTCTTGAGGTCCAGGCTTAAAACTGGCACAAGGTCATGTTGGAAATGAAAGGTCACTAGGAACAGACAGCTACTTTGCAACAAATCCATCCACTGCCTGCAGATGCAGAAATAAGCCAAAGACCAGCAGATCCAGTTTACAACTCTGATACATAAAATGAGCTAAACAGTTGTTGTGTTAAGTCACAAAACCTTGGAGTCATCTGTCATACAGCAAAACTAGACTAATATACTCCCTTATCATGGGGGAGTTCTTTTGGCATGTAAATGTGTGTTTGTGCCATATGTTGTGTGAGTGCTTGTGCGCATGTGTGCGTACGGAGAGCAGAGGTCAATATCAGGTGTCTTCAGTTGTTCTTTACTTTGCTTTTGAGACAGGGTCTCTCATTGAGCCGGGAGCTCACCGACTCAGCTAGACTGACTGGCTAGTGAACTGATATCCGTCTGTCTATACCCCCCAATGCTGAGGTTACAGGTGTGCATTGCTGTGCCCACTTTTTTACATGGGGGCTAGGGATTAAAACTCAGATCCTCATAAACGTGAGCATGGCAGGCACTTCACCAACTGAGCCATCTCCCCAGCACCCCTCTCCATGAGTTTTAAGACAACAATGCCTAAGACACTCACTAATGCATGTTCTTCAGGGCTCTTCAGGCTCTGCTCAGAGAAAATTAATGAACGTGATGGAGAAAAGATGCTGAACACTGGCACAGTCATGGGCTGAGTACTCACCCAGCATCAGATCCATTGCCACAAAGTAAGGGATCGGTAGTGCCTATCTTGAAGAAGACATTCCCTAGAGAAAAGAAAAAAAAATGAACACCTCACGGTATGTTCTGAGGCCTCCAATTCAGGCCTTGGGTGGCAAAGAAGACTCTTCCTGTCTTCTGACTGTGAGGTGGCTCCTTTGGCTATATTCATTCAATGGGCACTCAGGCAACACCTCCACCCCAGCCACTTAGAAAGTGTAAAGAGACAGAAAAATATGCATCTGGATTTAGAGTTCATGCCTTTGCAAAAGGGAAACTGGTCAGCAGGAAACAAGGCAGGGGAGTTAGACATGACTCAGGAGCACTTCAGCAGGAATGAGAAGTCAGACTATGTCTACACAGTTGTGCAGGGGCTTTGCACCCCTTTACCCCAGGTAAGCACAGCTCCAGGGTCCCCATCTTATGGCAGCACTTCTACTCACCTGCATTTTGAGATGAGTAATTAGCAGCCTCCTGGGGCTCTGTGCTGTTGTTCTTCATGCATTTGTTCTTGAGGTTCCCCTTGAAGAGCTGCAGACCCACTAAGGCAAAGACACTCAAGCAGAAGATGGTGAGGATGGTCACGTCAGCCAGTTTCCTCACTGAGTGGATCAGGGCCCCCACAATGACCTTCAGCCCTGTAGAAAGATGATAGAGATACTCCCATGTGGATATAGCACCATCCAGAGCACAGGGTCATCTTCAGTACCGTTTGTATTAGCTACACACAGGTGTGAAGTACTTACAAACTCTAAGCCCAGCCTCTCATCTGAACCTTGCAATTGCCCAGAGAGGCAATCAGGCAGGGACTATTGTCTTTGTCATAAAGATAAGCAACTGAAATCCAGTAAATGCATTTCTTATCATTTTAAGGCTAGTAAATGATTACACTAGCAATTATTCACCTAAAAAAGGTGTTGGGTGGCTGGGGATGTATGTAGCTCAGTGATACAGCACTTGTCTAAAATATATAAGGTCCTAAGTCATATGAGCAACACACATGTGAGACCCTGGACTGGGAGCTGAGTGACGAATTAGACATCATGTGAGGCAGGTTATCCAATAACTGAAGAAAAGCTTCACAGAATTAGCAAGCAGATGGACACATGGGGAGAGCCTTTAACTGGAGCTAGGGGTGGGAATGGGGCTGGCAGAGTATGGGGAAGCTGGAAAAAACCCAGAGAATAGCACCCTACTAGAACCCCAAGGAGTGAGAGAAAGAGAAGAGAAAGGACATCCCAAGAGAGAACACATGGCCAATAGCTTGTACACAGTCAGAGCTTAGAGCATTTGTACAGCCACAGGTAGGTTCTGGGACAGGATGTGTTCTATGGCTATTTCCTCTAAATTGAAACATTCTTAGAGGGAAGCTTGTTAAGACTCATCAAGTAAATAAAATTTATAAGGCCAGGAAGTAAATAAAACTAACAAGTCTTAGTTCCCTAAACAAGATTCAGGAGTCCCCACCTTCAAAGTTATATAAGCACGGTGATAAGCAGTTAAGACTGCTGGGGATGAGACTGACTGTCTGCTGAACTTTCTATAGACCTGAAGGGAACTTAAGATATGTAACTTTCGTGAGTTGTCACCTATGCTGGGGTAGAGTTTTTGGTGATCCAGCTGCCTTGAGTCACTCATGATCGTGTAAGGAACTCTTTACCCATACTCCTATAAATAACACCAATAGAATCACGGTTCACTGTTAGACTCGGGTGGAGTCATTTCTTTGGTCTGTCATCAATGTTCCATGTTGGATGAGTAGACATCTTTTCACATCTTCCCAGGAAATGTCACACAATACCATGAAGGATGGGTGGTTGTGAGGAAGGAGGCTGCAGAGAAGGAATCTGGACAGACTAGAGCTTGTCAAAAGGGCTCAAGATCTTCCTGGCACAGAACAGCTGAAAGCAACAGAAATCTGGCTTCCTTATAAACTGCCAGAGCCACATGTGGACTGGTAGAAAGACACAGCCACTCCATAACTAGTGTTTCTATTTTCCTCAAGAGAGGAGATTCTTAGGGGTGAATGGAGAGCAACCTTCAAGCCATCAGGGGGGATCTATTGAGTCCCATTCATAGTGATGACTCTCTCTGTATTCACCATCCCTACCATCAACCTCATAGAGGATGGTTTCAACAAACCATTGGACCAGAAGACAATCACATTTCTGCAAAGGGGAGGGCCCTAGGATCACATGTTACTAGTGACAACAGAGATCATGGAGGCCCAGTAAGATGAGCTTGGGTAAATCCCTTTTGTTTCTGAATACTCTGTGATCAAGAATTGCCTGATCCCTCCACTGCAGGTTCATTGACAGGACTGAGAATCAAGCTTCTAGATTTATGGAAATGATTAAGAAACCAAAATGTGGGATTGATTTTTCTCTTCTTCCCCATTATCAAATTTTTAAATGTTCAGTTGAAGATAAAAATAAGAATCCAACTGGGGTGGGGGGTATCTTTCCTCAACTCCATAGCAAGAATAGAACATGAGGGAGTGACCTTCCTGTAGTTTGCTGATGGTGAGTTATGGGGTATGTGGACAGAGCATTGGTCCAGGAACCAGGACAGCAGACTTCCAGGCCACACTTTGCCTCCTAGTAGAGAACAAACCTTGGCCTTGTGTAGTCTATACCCAGAGCCTAAGTTTCTTTGTTAAATAGGGTCAGTAGTCCCTGGCCTGGAGAGAGAGAGAGAGAGAGAGAGAGAGAGAGAGAGAGAGAGAGAGAGAGAGAGAGAGAGAGAGAGAGAGTAAAATCAAAGAAGAGTACTGACCAGTGATAACTAACATTTTCTCTGTTGAATAAATGTGCTGGTTAAGGCAGCTCACCTGGGATCACAGAAACTGTTTTTAAAGCTCTAAGAACTCGGAATGTCCGCAAGCCTGAGATTCCTCGGAGATCTATTGCTGCACCAACATATCTGTAGGACCAGAAGGCACTCAGCATTTTTGCAAGGAGAGGGCTCCAGGAATGCATGTGGTACACAGAATGGTCATAGCGAGAGAAGCCTAGAAGACCTAGGACAGACACTGCATATCACGTGGCATTAACATCTCTCAGTTGACATGGATGCCGACCAAACCATCATATTCCCTTTCAGAAAAGGCAATCCCGGAAGGTGCACAGTTGGATGGATTTCACACAGACAGGCTTGGTAAACCTGTTTTCTCAGGCACGTCTTCTCAAGGAAGTTCCTCCATATTGGGTAGGAACAACGCCGAACCTCTTCTGACCTACTCTGGCCAGTTATAAACATAGAGCTGAGTCTTTGACTTGTCCTTGTGGATGTGGGATGAGCTCAAGACTGTCTCCCAAAACCCAGGCCATAAAATTCTACCTGAGGAGGACTGAGAGGAGGACATGGTCCACATCGTGAGCACACAAATCAGCAAAGGGAAATACTCACGCCAGGGTAATGACGCTGAAGTCCAGCCAGTTCCAAGGGTCTCGCAGGTAAGTGAACTCATTTAGGCAAAATCCTCTTGCCAGTATTTTTATCAAAGCTTCAAAGGTGTAAATGACAGTGAAGGCGTACCTGGGGAGGAGGTAGAAAGGGGCATTAACTGTGCCATGGAGACACCTCAGGTGCTTCCTCTGCCTCCAGGTAGGAGAGATGAGCGGCTGTGGTTGTTGCAAGGGAACACATACAAAGAACGTAGCCAAGGTGGCGAAGGGGGCTAACAGGAGGTAAGGAGACAGGACTCTGGCAGACTGAGGAACACTGGGGAATCACACAGATGCCTGAGTGGAGAGGCCTGTGTTGTGTGTATGAGCAGCTGCGGCAGCAGCAGCCTGTGAAGGCAGGCAGAGGGCTGTGCCGGGTGAGCACGTCTCCTGTTCCGTGAGAGGCCCTTGTCCTGTGGATGCTGGAGACGCCTTTCCCAGCCTATGGGTGTTGGAAGATGTGGAAGAGCTCTGTTACACCTCATTTCCTCACACCTCCCTACTTCCACCCATTTCTTTTTCCACAGTGCCTCGTGTAGCTGTCTGTGTTCCTGGCCCAGGAACTGTGGAAGATTAAAAAAAAAAAAAATCTCAGTTCACAAACGTTTTCTCAGCTTCTCAGCTAGATGGATCAAAATTGAGGAAGTTATCTCAAAACAGTCCCTTTAGTCTGCTGGGCCCCTTGTTGTGTTTGGATTTGAAGAGCTGAGGTTGGGAGTAGGGGAATGTTTCGGGAATGTTCAGAATCCCTTGATCACCTGTGGCATAGCTTTCACACTGTAGCAGATACCAGAACTACCCAAAGGGCTTGCTCAAGCAGGTACCTGGGCTGTCCTCAGGGTCTGATTCAGTAAGTCTGAGGTGGGACCCAAGAATTAGAATTTCTAACACGTTCCCAGCTGATACTCATGTGTTGGCCTGGAGTACAATGGACCCAGAGAATTCAAGTGCACACGTAAGTTACACATGGATTTGAGGTACATTAAAAATAATTTAAAAGGGGCTGTGGAGATGGCTCAGTGTGCAAAGTGCTTGCTGCACAAGCATGAGAATCTGAGGAGTGGCAGCACATGCCTGTGGTCCCAGCACTGGGTAGGTGGAGGCAGGGCAATTGCTGGGGCTCCCTGGCCAGCCAACTTAGCCAAATCTATGAGCTCCAGGTTCAGTGAGAGACCCTGTCTCAAAAAGTAAAGTGGAAGGCAACTGAGAAAATACTAGACATCATCCTCTGGTCTCCACATGCATGTGCACACGTGTTCATGTACCATCCCATACATATAAACATGAGCACATACACACACAAAAAATAATTCATGTTATAAATGTGTATTTTTGTGTTAAAAGCAGGAAGATTCTTAACTAAATATGTTTATCTCTGTCCTTCCTGAAACTCTTTTTAGAGTAACAATAAATGGACTTTTTTAAAGGTATGAATGCACTGGGGCAAACACAAGCTGCATTGTAGAACTCTGAGCAGTTCAGATTTTAGAGATGCTCAGTATCTCAGAGGATAGACCTCGGGAGAAGGAGCAAGCAGGACTGAAAGTCTCCACAAGAAGCAGTTGGGCCTTTTAGGCCCTACTTCACACTGCCCTGTGCTATAGAGGTAGAGTGGGTATTCATTCTCAAGAGCTAAAGAAGAGGAAGTGCAATCATGCTGAAGTAAAGAAAAAGCTTCAGTGTGGAAGAGTAGACACTGCTCACTTCTGCTAAGTTCCTAGAAAGCAGGCAGGCTTATAGCTCATGAACATGCTTCTTTCTCCCCATCCCCCAACAAGGGTATGGGGCTATCTATATAGTCCAGCTGTTCTTGGACTTGCAATCCTTCTGTCTCAGCCTTCTGAATGCTAGGATTACAGGTATGCACCACCACACTCAGCTTAGCTGCCACACTTTTAATAAGAACAGTCAACCAAGGCATGTTGTAAATTGGAGGGATGTTTTTAACATCAAAACCAAGAAACATGAGCCAGGTAGAGTGGTGCATGACTTTTATAATAATCTCAGCACTGGAGACACTAAAGCAGAAAAATTTCCATGAGCTCCAGATCAGACACACTATACAGGCCAACCAGGGCTATATGGAAAGACTCAGTCTCACGATAGCATCACTACCACCAAACTAAAACAAAACCCAAAGCAACTAAAGAGGGGATTAAAAGAAAAAAAGAAAAAAAAATGTGGGGAGGATTAAAGAAATCTAGAAAAAGAAAAATCCTACTGTTGATATTTTTAGAGAGTTAAAAGGTGAGATAAACATTTCTTAAAACAAGAATAGGCTATAAAAAAAAACCCTCAAGAACAAAGCAGAACTTTTGAAAGTCAAATTAATGTAAAGACTGCAAATAAAGTTTTGAAAATCTCAGAAAATAGAACAAAAAGTGGGAATGTTTAAGAGAGTAATAAAAGCATGGAAATTAGAGAATCCGATGATTAAGAGGAAATTGAGAAAGAAACAGAGAAAGAAATAGATTGGAAGAAAGTATCAAAGGAATAATTCAAGAAAAATCCCACAAAATTGAAAGATCCAAGTATTAAAGACAGTGACAGATGTTCAGTAGACCGAATGAAGAAGTGAACGCTCACATCAAAGCTGAACGTCGCAAAGTTTCAGACCATTTCGCACAAGGAGAGCTCTACGGTTTTTTTGAGGGAGAACATAAACAGGCCATCTATAAAGGATTGAAAATGAAAAACATTAGGTAAAACATTAGGTATTTCAGAAACTACCTTGGATAGGAAGATGAAGATCATCGATACCTTAAAACTTCCAAGGAAAACACTTTCTAATATGGAATTCCTTTGTCAGCCAAACTGTCAGAGACAGACGAGGGGAGACTAATACGGATAGGCAAAACCTCAGAACATTTACTTCCCAGCTATGAAAATCTACACAAAGAAGAAGGATATGGGGCCCAAGGGAGGCAAAGAAATTCAAGAGGATGAGAAGGAAACACTCTCCAGAAAATGGCTTTGCTAGAGAACTATAGGTCAGGCTGTGGCAGGAAATGAGACACCTGGATGATTTCTCTGAGGAAAATGAGAACCTATGGGTACTCTGGTGTGTTCAAAGAGAGAATTAAGAGAATTGAGAAGTGAGAAGTGAGAATTAAGCCTCCGGAGAAGAGTTCTGGAACATATGAGAATTGAAGACACAGAAAACTGAGCAAAGGAAGAAGTGAAATCCTTATAAACACCAGGAAAAGCAAAAGCAGTATGCAAGCTGGGATTGGGGGCTCATACCTGTAACTCCAGCCAGCATTCAGGAGGTGGGTGGGGTTGTCATGAGGTTGAGGCCAACTCCACACTGCTTAGCAATGCTGCTGTATAGTCATCTACCTAGTCAGGCAACACATGCATCACATGACAATCTACCCCCCAAAATTGTTATGCACCAATAATGGGAAAACCAAGAAGAAAGGAAATGAGTATGTGCATCTGACCCTTGTGGTTTTTCCACCATGAAAAGCCAGTATGAAGCCATTTAAATGGAAAAATAAATAGTGCTGTTAGTTTTATTGGCGATAGAGAGGTAGCAAAAGAAAGTGGCAAACTGGGGGCTGGAGAGATGGCTCAGCAGTTAAGAGCACATGCTGCTCTTTCAGAGAGCCCAAGTTCAGTTCCCAGCACTGATATCAGCCATCTCACAACTGCCTACCACTTCAGCTCCAAGGGATCTGACACCCTCTTCTGGCCTTTTGTGGGCACTGCACTTACATGCACACATACCCTACATACATAGACACACATAAATAAGGAAATTTTTTTAAATTGAGAATTTGGGGGATGGAAAAATGGCTCAGTGATTAAGAGTACTGAATGTTCTTTCAGAGAATCCTGGTTCAGTTCCAAGCACCCGCATGACAGCTAACAACAGTCAGTAACTCCAGTTCCAGGGAATCTGTCACCCTTATCTGGCTTTCATATCTATGCTCTAACATAGATGCACTTGTATACATGCAGGAGAGGCACCCATATACATAAAATAAAAATAAGTAAATAAAAATTTTGTTTTTAAATTGAGAATTTGGAAAGATAGGCCACAGAGGTGTGGGAGTTGAGAAAGACAAAAACTAAAAAACACAATTAACAATGGTGTTGGCACAAAGCAGAATCATAGGCTTATCAGACAGGGATTTTGGAGTGGGTGGAGCATCTGGGCACCCAGGAAGTATTCTCTTCTTCCCTGCATTTATTTGCAGTGTGGTGGTGGGAAGCCATTTTGAGTGGTTCCTCTCTGAATCCACAGCTTTAGGAATCAAAATTCCCTGCATTGGCCTTTCTCTGGGATACCATGGCAAGAGTCAAGTGTGGATCCAGCCAGTGTTGGTTGGCTATAGAGAGTAGCTATAACTATGGCAAGGGTGGGGGATGGGCATAGGGGAAGCGCTGAGTCAGAGGTGTGGAGAGCTTCATGTGTGGGAAACTAGCTGAAGTCACAGGAAGAAGCAGAGGTTACTACCTGTTTGGGGCCCAGAAAGTAGGAAAGCTAGGTCCAGAAACTCTAGGACCCGGATGTAGCAGTTGCAAGTGGATACATGGTGTGGGAGCTAAGTTGTAGAAAGTCCCAGACCTGGAGGGTAGATCATGGCAGCATTGAGCTACCTTATTGATCACTGAATCTTGGTAGAACTTCCTTGTCCCAAACCAGACACTTGAAGGTGCAGGAGACTGAAACCAGCAGGCAGAGAGTTTATGGTGCATACCACCCAGTCCTGACAAGCAGGGCAGCCAAGAGTACCTGCAACTGGTTGTCTCCACAAAGCAGGCTCTCTGGGTGCTAGCTGAGTACCAAAAGGAAGAAGAGGAAGCCAAATAGTGCACAGATTCTGTGCTCATCAGGTGGCAAACAGCCAAAGTGGCCACAGAAGAGCTGGTGGGCGTGAGTGGAGAGTCTTCACTACTGTTCACAGTAGAGAACTAGAAACCAGCTGTGGTGGTTTGAATGAAAATGTCCCCCATAGGCTCCAAGTGTTTGGACATTTTGTCCCTAGATGGTGGCGCTGTTTTGGGAGGTTTTAGAAGGTGTGGCTATCCTGGAGGAAGCATGTTGCTGGGGGTGGGCTTAGAGAGTTCTTAAGCCTTGCTGGA